ATATAGCAAGAAAATCAATAAATACCATTAAAAGCTATAAAACAATAATTATCAAATTATCACTTATTAATGAAAAATATAATATTAATATATAATGTATTTTTTAATAACCGACATATAGTGCTAATGTTTCAATTAATTTATATCAATGATTTGATATGTAATAATATATTTTCCTTGAGGATAAAATTCGATCACTTAGATAATTAGCAATATATATCTATTATCGATTAATAGCGATAAATATATATTAGCTAGATAGTAATATATAGCTATTTATTGATTTATATCGATAAAATATTTAACAATATACAGTCTTATCTCTTTATAATCACACAGTTAGGACTATAGTAATTTTTTTAAAAAAATATACTTATAAAGAGGTGTGCTTATGTAGAGGTTTTTTTATATATATTAAATAGTAATTGGGCTCAAATAGGGTGTGATTAAAAAAAGGTTTTTATATGATGTGATTATATAAGAGGTGATTATAAAGAGGGAAGACTGTATATCATTTATTTGATATATATCGATAACTATCTATTTACGATATTTATTGGTTATTAGATATATATCGATTTTTATATATATATATTGATATATATTGTTATTTTCTAATTGATACTTATTAATTTTTTGCTATATATCGATATTTATCTTTATAAAAAATTTTCTGATGATTATTAATATTTAATATATATAATTTATTGTAATTAGTAATAATAGCTAAAAATTTAATTGATATTTATAAATATATATATTGTTACAAAGTAAGTTGTAATACAGAGTAATATAGTATAGAATAAATTTAACTATTATATTATTGTTATTAGATTGATTAGTATAATTAATTATTATATTATATATTAAATTCAGGGTTGGCCAAATTACTGGTCGACCAAAAATTCATTGGTCAAACTGGTCCGGTCAAATTGGTCAAATGGTCTGGTCAAATTGGTCAAATAGTCTAGTCTATTAATTAAATAAATTTAGTATACAATATATATATATATGTATTCATATGTATACTATATATTTAAATATCTTTTGACCAATTTGACCAATATTAAACCCTTTGGCTAGCTAGTCAAATTGGTCAAACTAGTCTGGTCAAGCTTAACCATTGACCGGTCTGTGCCAACCCTGATTATATTGTTATATTAGCAATATACAGTCAGACCCCTCTAAATGCACTCTTTCTAAATGCAGCACCTCTCTAAATGCATTATTAAGCCCAGGCCCATGGTGGGACTTATAGATAAATGCACGTTCTTTATTTTGTAAGTGCACACTAACTGTCTAGCCCACTTATAAAAACTTCCTCCATAAATACATTCACGGAATTACCAGCCAATCAAATTTATTATTTTAAGGCTACTAAAGCCACATTATCACGTGCTAACAATAACATTGCGATTTTATTAGTGTTCTCTAATTGCAGCCCTCTCTAAATGCACGCTTTAGAGGTGGTCCCGGCGATGTGCATTTAGGGAGGTCTGACTGTACAGTCTATACTGTCTAAATGCATACTGCATACTGTCTAAATGCATAATTTTTTAAAGAAATTTATTAGTAATATACATTTAGACAGTTGATTTTCTGATATTTGATTGGTTAATACTGTATAAATATATAAATTTGATTTTTTTTTTGCCTTTCCCGATAGTATGTATTTAGACAGTATCAACTGTATTAGTATTTTTTAAAATTCTAATAAGTAACTCCGTGTAACTTCTAATTGTGATACAAATCTGATTCCACCAATAGAATCCTTGATATCAATTTCCTTAGTATAGTTTTTATTATTTGTCAATCAAGTTAATAGTTAACAAGTTATTAAGATTTAAATATATATAACTATAGAAGATAATGAATAATAATCTGTTACCCTTGTGACATGAGACCTGTTGGTACAGACCCATTGACACAGACCCGTTGGTACAGACCCATTAGTACAGACTCGTTGGCACAAACACAGACCTGTTGGTACAAAATATTATTTGTTCTTATATAGAGTTTTAAAAGATATAAAAACCCTGTCTTTTTGCCCAAGCCAAGATAGATTTTGCCAGGTCCTAACTTGTATTTTCCTAACCTTTTCCCTATTAAATAAATAATATACCTTTGACCATATACCCACTACTATGTATATGCTCTTTTTATTGTGTTTTTATAGTAATTTTATAGTATTTTCTTAGAGTTTTCCTTGAGTTTTTATCCTATTTTTATTGTATTTTCCCAGGTTTTTCTTCTTATTTCCTATATTTTATATCCTATATCCTGAGTTATTTTTGAGTTTATATTCTTAAAGTTTATTCTCTTTGAGTCATATCTGAGTTTTATTTAAGTTTTACCTTTTTGTATACATATATCCTTACCTTCTTCACATTAAGTTAAGTAGTATAGTTAGTAAAGCTAGCTTTCTATATTACAATATATTGTATTGTATTAATTATAGTTAATTATATTTAGTATAGAAAAGATTTTATTGGGTAATAGAAAAGATTCTATTAAGTAATAGAATATAATATAGTAGTATTGTAACTAAGTAAAATAGTATACAATACAAAATACTTTTAAGCAGTATTGTTATAGGACAGCTTTGAACAATATTTTAGACAATCTTGAACATTCTTGGAAAATTAAATAAAGTAAAATTACTTAAAATTTTATTAAGTTAATCTATTTTAATTTTAATTAAATAAATTTAGCCTCTAAAAAAATATATAGTTATATATTTTTTAGATAGATTTATTAACTATTAAAGCCTAAACAAGCTATAGACAATTTTGAATACTTGGACAATTTTAAATATAGACAAATCAAAAAAGATTATAGATAGCCAAAATATACAACACTGCCTCTAAGTGTTTTTACACAAGTGTTTCTGAGTGCCTCTATACAAGTGTCTCTAAGTATCTCTATACAAGTACCTCTAAGTACTTTTATACAAAGTGCTTCTAAGTGCTTTTATACAAAGTGCCTCTAAGTACTTCTGCACTATATAGCAATTATATTATTACACTTCTATTTGTAAAAAAGTTATAAAAAAGAAGCCTTGTTTTTTTCTATTTAAGTTAAAGTTTTTCTACTCTCATAAAGAGTTTCTTCACTTTTATAGAGAGTTAGAGTTCTCTATACTCTTATAGAGAGTTAGAGTTTTCTATTCTTTTATAGAATTTAGTTTATCTCTTTTACCTCTTTCTATTGTATAGTATAATATTCTCTCTTTAGAGTAATTTTTACAAGTATATAAGATTGTCACCATAAATCTGTTATTAATAAATATTATTATTTATAAACTGTTATTATCTTGAACTATTTACCTCTTGTCATATATAAAGTTAAAGTATATACTTTATATCCACCTTGTATATATTCATAAAGTATATTACTATACTAAATAACCTTGTTACTTTACTATAATTATACTATTATATTAGTATATTTTTATTAGGTTAGTTATACAAATTACTATTTATAGTCTAGTATAGATTACATAGTTCAAATCTATACTATTAGTTTTTTTAGTGAATTTTTAACTATTTTGAATTTAGATACATATTTAGAATTTAGTTTTTTTTTTTTTTTTTTTTTTGTGTTAAGGTGACCTCTTTGGCTAGGGGCTTTTTATTAGATAATTAACAACGTTTACAATTATGATGAGGGTATATTTAGAATTTAGTATAGTACCTTACTATAGTATCTTATTATAATACTTTAGTATAGTATCTTATTATAGTACCTTAGTATATATAGTATCTTAGTATAGTATCTTAGTATAGTACCTTACTATAGTATCTTACTATAGTACTTTAGTATAGTACTTTAGTATAGTATATATCTTGACATGTTTTACCAATATAATAATAATGTTTTCTTAATAATTCTAAAGCTATATAAACTTTGCTTTTTTCCCTAAAGCAGGTTAGATCCTGTTAGGTTTTGTTAAGTTTTGTTTTCTATTTTCTTAACCTTGTATCTAATAAATATTACTCTTTTAACTATATATATACTTGTTATATTATAAACTCTTCTTTATTGCCTTTTATTATAACTTTGTTGTCTTTTGTTATTTTTTTTTACTACTTTCTATCTTGACTTTATTGTTTTTTATTGCCTCTTTTTACTATTTTCTATTTTTGTTTTATTATCTTTTTCTTTGAGTTTTCTTCTTGTTTCTATATTTTTATACTCTATATTTTTTATTTCTATATTTTAGTTTTCTTTTTTTTTTTTTTTTCTCTTCTCTTTTCTTCTATTCATATTCCTTACTCTCTGCACATTAAGTCAAGTGATATAGTTAACACCCCAAGGGTTTCTATGTTACAATATTAAGAAGGCTATAGCATATACAGTTAAATTTTAATATATATAATCACTAGATTGAAAAACAAAATTTTGGTAATTATAAAAAGTTGTAATTATATAAAGGTCAAAAAATATATGTTTTATAATAGCTAGGCCAAAAAAATAGTGATTATAACAAGGTTGTAACCATATTGAAAGTGACTATAACAAGGTCTAACTATATATTATACAAATTATATATATAGTATACTGTAAATTAATTTATAGCCAAATTTAAAATATTTTTATAAGTTTTGTATATATAGTATATATACAGTATATAATACTGTAAAAAAAAACAAAAAATACAAAATCTTTATAAATAACTAAATTATATTATTAAAAAAAATTTAATTTAAATATGCCAAAATAAAGCTGTATAGTAAGCTAAATTATATAATTTTAGTTGCATTCTTGCTGATAGCTTGAAATATTTATTTGGTTTACTTTTGTTTCGGCATTTTAAATTATAATATTAGTATATACAAAAATAAAATAATAAAAATTATTCAAATTTTTTGTAAAGCAAATTCTAATTCTAAATTTACTAATTGCAAACAAAATAATCAAACTAATAAATACATAGTTTTCTATTAACACATACTTTATTTGATTCAAGAAATTTAACGTACAATCTTGAAAATTTTTAATTAATGGTTCTTTTTGTTTTCATCCGCTTCTGCACTCTTCAAAAATTCCTGAATAAAGGCTTCCTCTTCTACGGAAGAAGCATTGATCGGTGGTGAATCAACAAGAGGATTAGGTTGTTTGGATTTGGCTCTTTTAATTGCAGCGTAGACACCAATACCGATAGTCGACAATGTCGCGAGCGCAAGCTATCATGATAATTGAATATTAAGTTTGTAAAGGTTATGCGCAAAAGAATCCAATTAGTAATTGAATGTTTGATTACGAATTTTATAAGAAGCCGAAGCATCCATTGAAGGTTAGTTCATTGGAAACAACTAATTAGAACCATTCCATTCCAATAATATGTGTCTTACGTATTCAGACCCGATCTTGCGACCGGCAATCATGTAAACTGCTCCTCCTCCCATTACTAACGCAAGTGTGTGGAATGAACTTTATAGCTAAGTTATGGTTAAAAAAAGTCCAAACATTTATTCGTATGTCGTTGAAAATATAAACTCAAAAGTATAAATTTCTTGGCGTACATATCGAAATTTAAGCGTTTCGGTATTTACGAACGGCAGAAGTATGAGGCAATCCTTTTCGATATTTTCGATATTTTCGACATTTTTCTGATTTTCTTCCACGTGAGGTAGGCGAGTGGCCACCAGTGTTTATTTTTCACCTGTGCGGATCCAATCAAATTGCTTTATTTTTAAAATCAAGTAATTTGATTGGATTCGCGCTGGAGAAAAATATTGTAGCAGGTAGGGAAACTTCAGAATGGCAGATAGTGTCGGGAAATTCCGGGATTTGTGAATAGTCTGATTTTTAGATGGTCTGATAGGTGGCATGCCCCTATGGCCAAATTTTTTAACCATGCTACTCACCCTAACGTGAGGTATTCAGTTCCCCTGTGACATATTGCTATAAGTACTGGTACATACGTACGTAGTATAATAAAAAAAAAAAAGAACTTCACAATGGACTTAAGTGTTGAGGAAAAACTTAAAATTGCTAGCAGCTTCTTACTTGATAGCCCTCCTGGCGAAGTCAGTGAAGTCTATAGTGGCAAGTTTTGGTTCTGCGTTCTCATACCCGGTATTTAAAAACTCTAGCCAAAATAGCGACTGATAAATCAACGTGTTACACGCTATTTCATGTTCTATAGATGTTAGCGTCTTATTGAATAATAATTCGGTGTTTCAGGAAGGACTTCTGGACGCGTTACGACAATACAATATTGAACAATATGTAACAGTAACTTTTCCAGAACAAGAATCTAAGGTGATCAAAATTTGTCATATATCTTTCTTTTTTAAAGAAAAATAATAACCATTTAAATAATTGCAGGTCATATTATCGAAATATGGACAGCTCGAAAACGATCGGTTTTTCGACCCAAAATCACATAAAACATTTAAAGTTGATCATATGAGTCAAGTAAGATTATTTAAAATACGATATGTTAACCTATGCAAAAGAATGCTTAAACACGATTTTAATGGTAGGATGTAATCGAGGTCGAACCTGAACCTCAAACCCCAGATGAAACAACAGAACCATTAAGGTATTATTTATTCTTGTATTTGCCTAATTGCAAATTCATTTTTAATAAAGTAATCAAAATGTTTCGTAGATCTGCAGTTGAAACAGCAATTTCAGAATATGTGGCAGATCATTATCCCAAGGGTGCCTCAGCCACTTACTCTACAGGAGAAACAATAACTATTGCAATCGTGGATGAAAAATTCAACCCAAAGAACCTCTGGTGAATGAATTTTCTTTAACAGTTGCGACATGTGGCATTTTTTTTTAGTCTTAATATGGACAAATCTTTGTTATAGGAATGGTAGATGGCGGTCGACTTGGGTCATCTCACCTGGGTCCGGTGAAATAAAAGGAACGATCAAAATCAATGTCCACTATTACGAAGATGGAAACGTACAGTTGAATTCTACAAAGGAGATTGAAATAACCTCTTCACCAGTGAATTCAGAAGTATATTTTTACATCTGAACAGATCATTCGAGTTTAGTAGGTTTAAAAAAATAATTATATAAATCAATTATAATATTCTAAAGGACCTTGCCGCGTCAGCCGCCGCTTATTCTAAATCAATTTGCAAAGCTGAAAACGAATTTCAAAATGCATTGAATGAATCTTATGTTGAATTATCAGAAAACACATTTAAGGGATTGAGACGTGCTCTCCCGTTAACGCGTCATAAGATCGATTGGGATAAGGTTCGGAATAATTTCTCGTATACTTAAAAAATTCCATTGTATGATCTGACTTTCTCTCTATGCTTTAAAGATCTCCAATTACAAGATTGGCCAGGAGCTTGCGAACAAATCTTAATTTATAATTATTAGTGTAGTTTATTGAGTTTAAACTCTGAAATGACGCATGCGTATTTAAGATTATTAAATGTGCGTTGTTATAGTATTTCTTGATTTTGACGTAACAAAAGTATTTTTATTTCGAAATCCTTTTTACAAGCATAATAAAGCTATATTGCTGAATACTCGGCACATAAAAAAAAAACTACAGTAATTATAGTATCAATTATGGAAGTCATTCCAAATGAATGGCATTACCAAAATTTTTTTCAAGATTTTGAAAGATCTTGTTTTGTCTTAGATGTTCTCTAGCAAAAGCTTGTTTGAAAGATTTTTTTTCGAGTCGACGATTCTGTATGAGAAAAAGCAGACTTAATACCGATAGCAAAATTGATAGCGATAAAACTAACGGACTTACCTTTCTTTCGGCCTTTACGCTTGCTTTCCTCTGCCTCTTTTCCTCTTTTGATTCAGTTTTTGATCTAGGTATGCCTAAGTTTACTAGTATATGTAGAATCATAAAAATAATAATAATAATCTTATTAAACTCTGACTTAAATCCTAATCAGCCTTCTAAAACCAAAACGTGCATCCAAAAAATCTTAATTTCATATTAAATTCCGGCATCATTCGCGACATTTTTTTAACTAACCTCTTATTT